CCCCACACCCCCACACTTCCACACCCACTACACACTCACCGTATGTGTCACTGTTGCACTGACACGTGAACCTCCCGCTGGTGGAGGAAGGGGGTGGTTCCACATCAGTACACACTCCGCCATGTTGGCACGGGTTGGGCTCACAGTCGTCGATGTTGTGCTGGCACCTCGCACCCTCATACCCTGAGGAAAATGGAAATGGCGGTGAGGGAGGATGTTTATCTCAACATCCTTTTTTAACAGCACCAATTCAATTTCATTCGCTTTTTGTGGGGGGATTTTTTCCTATTAGTTTGTCGTTTGTTTTTTTTTGCTTTTCTTTTACGAAAAAAGCCAAATATCTCGAAAACGCACATATGTTACGAGTAGAAATAAACCACAGAAAATACTTATATCCTTTTTTAACATCATCAGTCCAATTTTATTATATTATTGCTGTTGTTGTTTGGGGGTTGTTATTTTCTTTTACGCCAAAAATATAAAATACGTACAGATGTTAAAAACAAACCACAGAAAATACTAACAAACACCAAAGGAACATAATATAATAAAAATGAGCAGTAGGAAAACTCGGTAAAAATAGACTAATGGAACAAATTGATGAATAAACAGGGCAAGAAAGTGAATAAATACAACAAATACATTTACAAGTATAAATGAACAAATACAGCAAATTATATACAAACAAATGGACAAAACAACATAGCAGACGAACATATTCAAGGACTAACCTGGTTTTGAAAAAGGGGGAAAACACGTATGCATCAACGTACAAGCAAATAAATGAACAAAAAACACAAATAAACAAATAGACGGACAAACTCCGTGCCCCACCCAGCGCACAGAAAACATTTGTAACTCGCCCTATCATCATCATCATTTGTAACTCGCCCTATGTTGAGACACGGGTGAAGAAATAACACGAACAAACTAGCAAACGAACAAACAAACAATTGAACAAGCAAACACACAAGCAAACAAACGCAATGACTCACCTGGCGTACAGAAACATTAATTGTAACTCGCCCTCTCCCTGTAGCATACGCCGTTGTTGAGGCACGGGTGAAGAGAACACACATACAAACAAACAAACAAACAAACGAACAAACAAACAAACAATTGAACAGGCAAACACACAAGCAAACAAACACGATGACTGACCTGGCGTACAGAAACATTTGTAGCTGGCCCCGTCCCTGTAGCACACACCGCTGTTGAGGCACGGGTTAGGGGAACACACGTTGCTGACCACCTGGACACAGTTGCCGAAAGCTGGGGAGGGACATTTAAGGATGTTTTTATAATAATATTGATAATGATAATGATTATGACAATGATAGTAATAGTGATAGTGATAGTGATAATGATAATGATAGTAATAGTGACAATGATAATGATAATGAAAATGATAATGATAGTAATAGTGATAATGATAATGAAAATAATAATGATAATGACAATGATAACTATAATGATAATGAAAATGATAATAGTGAGAATGATAATCATGATAATAACAATATAATAATAATCGTAATAATCAAAAACAGTTCTAAAAGATGGATGAGGGAAATAATGAACGAGGGAAAGGAAGAATGAGGGAAAGAAAGAAGGATGGAAAAGATGAATGAATGAAAGTAGGAAAGAAGGTACGGGTCATGAGTAAACGAGGAGGAGGAG